AAACTACCAGTTGTTCCGCGGGAGAAAGATGAGGCTTTCTACTCCCGTAAAGATTTACACCCTCAGAAACCCTGTACAGGGTCACTATGGGTCGGAACCGACTCGACAGCACTTAACAACAACCACAACAATGACTCTAAAATGGGTAAAGAAAAACCTTTGCCAGACAACAAAATGTGAGAGTGAGTCATGTGGAAGACCCTGTACAACTTCTAAGAAGTTTATTTCCTGATGCATAAAGTATCTCCTTTTACATACTTGTCTCAACATTCTTCAAAACAGTTGATCATAAGTATTGTTACTATTTGTCTTTAAGCTATTTTAATAACTCCAGGGATGAAAAGCACTGGACTCATAACCACAAAGTCAGTGGTTCAAACCCATTAGCTCCTCCTCAGGAACTCTATACAGGATTGCTATGAGTCAAAACTGACTTGACAGCACTGTAAAACAGCAACAACCACAGAGATGAAAACATATCTGTAGGAGATGCTGTCAGCCACTATCTATCAGTTTGTCTACCATGGTGGCTTGTGTGTTGCCAGAATCTATGTCACCAATATTTAAATAGCATGTTAGACAGGTTTATGCTGAGCTTCTAGACTAAGACACATTAGGTATCTAAACATTAGGCTAAGACACGGAGGTGGACTGCTCTGAATGGTTAGCCACTGAAAATCTTATGAGTAGCAAGAAAACATTCTCAGATATAGTGCCAGAAGAGCAGCAGATTATCAGATACAGTTCTAAAAGATGAACTCCTGAGGTTGGAAGGCACTTAAAATGTGATTGGGAAGAACTGTCCCCTCAAAGTAGAATAGAACATGATGATGAGAATGGAGTAGTTTTCAGGACCTTCATTTGCTGATGGGAAAAACACAAAATGAGAAGAAACAGTTAAAAACATCTATTAATAATCAGAACATGGAATGTACAAAATATGAATCAAAGAAAATTTCAAGTTGTCAAAAATGAAATGGAATGCATGAAGATTAATATCTTAGGCATTGGTGAGCTGAAATGAACTGGTATTGGCTATTTTCAATCTAACAACCATATGGTTTACTATGCTGGGAACTAGAAATTGAAGAGAAGTGATGTCACATTCATCATCAAAAAGAACATTTCAAGATCTATCTTAGAATAAAATGCCAATTATGATAGGATAATATCCATGTACCTGCAAGGAAGACCACAGGTGTTTCCACTGTTACTCAAATGTATGAATTAATGTACCAACCAAAAATGCCAAGATGATAAAATTGAAGAAAATTTTGGCTACAAAAATGTAGCCAAATGTTTTGATAATTACTTTGTTGAAAACAAAGAAGAAGGTTCAGTAATTGGAAAATATTACCTTGGTGATAGAAATGTTGCTGAAACCACATGATAGATAGAATTTTGCAAGAACAATGAAATATTCATTGCAAACAACTTTTTAAAAACAAAATGAAAAGTGACTATACATGTGGACTTTATCAGATGGAATACACAGGAATCAAATTTACATTGTCTGTGGGAAGACGCAGCTGTGTGAACAGAACAATGGAATAAAATGGTTTAAAACCAGGAAAGGTGTGCACCAGGCTTGTATCCCTTCAGTGTACTTGTTCAATCTGCATGTTGAACAAAGAATCTGAGAAACTGGATTATACAAAGTAGAACATGGCATCAGGATTGAAGGAAGACTTATTAACAACCTGTGATATGAAGATGATATGACCTTGCTTGCTGGCAGCAAAGAGGACTTAAAATACTTACTGATGAATATCAAAGACTGTAGTCTTCGGTATGGATTGCACCTAAATGTAAACAAAACAAAAATTCTCACTACTGGAGCAATAAATGGGATCACAATAAATGGAAAAAGATTGAAATTGTCTAAAACTTTATTTTTCTTGGCTCCATAATCAACACTAATGAAGCAGCAGTCAAGAAATCAGAGTTGCATTGGACAACTCTGCTGTAAAAGATTTCTTTAGAGTTTAAAAGAACAAAGTTGTCAGTTTAAAGACTAAGATATGACTGATTCAGGCCATGTTTCTTTTCAATTATGTTGTTGGAGAGGAATATTAAAAGTATCATGAACTGCCAGAAAAAACCCCAAAACAAACAAACAAACAAACAAACAAACAAACAAAAAAAAACCCCACATAATTCTGGGTAGAAATACAGCTAGAATGTTCCTTAGAAGTCAAGATGGTGAGACTCCATATCTAATTCTTTGAACATGTTATGAGAAGAGACCAATCCCTGGAGAAAGACATCATGCTTAGTAAAGTGGAGGTTCAGCAAAAAAGAAGGCACTGACTGACAAAGTGGCAGCAGCAATGCACTTAAATGTAGCAGCAATTGTTTATACAACACAGGACTGGGCCATTTTTATTTTCTATTGTGTATGGGGTCCTTATGAGTCAGAACCAACTCTGTGGCACCTTACAACAAACACAGTAGGTACAATCTTAATAAAAAAAAGTATCTTTCTTCTACTAAGTATTTGCATGAAAAAACAGTACAACAACCACTCAGAGTCAGGAGTCTACTTTTATTTATGGATAGTGACATCATTTCATAAATAGAGGCACTATTGATCAGCAAATACAAACACAAGCAAAAGAGCATAACTTGGAATGCCAAGGCCCCAGTTAATCTTCATTTTAATCTGTTCGATAGTTTTGGGGATTTTTTTTTTTTTTTTGCCTTGTTATCTCAACTTAATATTTAAAAACCTTATTTGAAAATGCAAAAAAAAATTAAAATTTGGGATAGACATTGTAAAATAGTAGGATATAGTTGAAAAGCAACATCAAAATGATATAAAAATCTCATAACTGAAAGCTGAAAGAAATGAAATAAAAAGACTTCAAAAGAGACATAGTGTAAAAAGCATCCTTGAAGAATATTCATTAGGAATTAAATTGTGGACTACATGGTGTTAAGTCATAGCATTCTCTATGGTGGATGTCTTATGTTCTGCATTATCTGTCTTCTGATATATCCACTGATTTCATAATTATTGGTATCTTTATAAATACATAGATTATTAATATTTCATCCTTTATTATAAACAGTTATTACTAATCTGTTTTAGTTGAGTCATTTGAAGAAAAAAAGGCAACAAGATATGGTTGCTATTTTCATGAAGTACAAGAATAATATGGAAGATAAATATAGACATTGGAATTGTGAAGAGGAAAATAGTTTTTTTTTTTTTTCCCCAAAGTAGAAATTAGCTTCATAGGTATTTTTCCAGAAATAAGTAAATGCTACCCAAGTCCTCTCTGCTACATTTTCAGTAGATTGCCCAGAATACGGGTGCGAATCTCCCGGGTTTTAATGCAGTACACAACAGGATTGAGAACGGGAGGTACTAATAAATAGACATAGCCCATGATAATGTGCACCACAGCTGGAACATGCTTCCCAAAGCGATGGATAATAGACACTCCAAGCATGGGGACATAGACAAGCAGCACAGCACAGATGTGGGAGACACAAGTATTGAGGGCCTTGAATTGTTCTTCCCGGGAGGCAATACTCAACACAGTGATCAGGATCTTCATATAAGAGAGGAGGATGAGTACAGAGTCCAATCCAAAAGTGATGAGAATGATGACAAGACCATAGATGCTATTGATGCGGTGGTCAGAACAGGAAAGCTTGATTATATCAGGATGCAGGCAGTATGAGTGAGAGAGCACATTAGGCTTACAATAGGCCAACCTTTTAATGAGAAAGGGTACTGGAAAGATGACAGCCACAGCTCGCATCAAAATCCCCACACCTATCTTGGCAATGGTGGCATTAGTCAAAATAGTAGTATACCTGAGTGGGTTGGAGATGGCCACATAGCGATCAAAGGCCATGGTCAGCAGGATGCCTGATTCCATGAGGGAGAAAACATGGATGAAGAACATCTGGGTGAGGCAGGCATCAAATGCTATTTCAGGGACATTGAACCAGAAAAGTTGGAGTAGAGTGGGCAGGGTGGAAGCACAGAGCCCCAGGTCACTAGCAGCCAGCATGGAGAGAAAAAGGTACATGGGTGCGTGCAGTGACTCTTCAACCCTGATAACCACCAAGATAGCACTGTTACCTAGAAAGGCAATCAGGTAAAGTGCACAAAACAAAATTGAGATCACTGGATGTGAGTCCTCCAGGCCAGGGAAACCAGTCAGAAGAAAGGGTCTGTTGGTACTGCTGTTGAAAGAGACCATGATGTCTCATTTATAGTACAGAGGTCACTTTTCTCCACAGTAAGAATCTGGATTAGCATAGCATCCCCATTTTCATTTCCAATGAACAATTTGTAGTACAAACGTGGAGTCTCCCTAAAGTGGTAGTCTAGATTAACACTTTGAAATGAATAAATCTATATCATGAGCTTATGCTAGGAACCACATAAAATCAGTTCACCTCCTTATCAAAGCTAGAGTCAAAGAGAAACTTCAATACACTAATAAAATTTGATAGAACAAATCATAAAAAACATATTCATTGCCCAACAAACATCTAATTTAAGTTAAGAAATATAATTGTAGAGAAAATATGTACATCGTTCTTTCTTAATTATACTGTATGATTTTGTGTGCTGTGAGAAAGCAACCTAAACTAGCTTCAGAAATTAAAGACTGGGAAACTTTCAGGAAATAGAAAAACCTCTCCCTTATTCTTTGTTGCTATCCTCCCTCTGCATGGACATTAAGAAAATGTTTTGAACAAAACAAAGGAAAACTATTAATATCACCCATGAAGGATAACTATTAATATCACCCATGAAGGATCCCTGTACATGCAGAGAGGGCTTTAAGTCCTATACCTGATCAAATTAGATCAAATTTGAAATTTTCTCTAACTATACACAATTCATAGACCATTTTACTTTAAAATAGTGTCTCCATATGTACCAGAGTTGAGCTGTGCTCCAGAAGATTTCCAATGGCTAAACTTTTAGGAATTATATTTCCATGCTTTCTTCCAAAGAACCTCTGGGTGAATTAAAATCACCATCCAGTGTGTTTAGAACAGTAACTCTTCATAAGGTTTCTTTAGCATTTTTATGAGGTTTTTTTGGTTTTTTTTAGCTTTTTAATAGAGAAGTCTACATAATTAAGGAACGAAGCCATGGTGATGTACTTCTGAAAATCAGCTCATGAAAACACTATGGATTGCAGGTCTGATCTGCATCCCATCATGGGAATGCAGTAGTATAGTAGAAGTTTCATTGCCAATCAAGTCTGCCTAAACTGGGTGCCAAGTCAACAGCAGCTAACAACAACAACAAATAGTTTAATATATAGTTCAGAGAGCCTATTATCACTTTCTTATAGTTTACCCTAATCCATATAGTATTCTAATATCTAAGCTACTTTTAGACATCTTTAAATTATGTATATGTTTATTATATCTGAACTTTGTAATCTCTATGGAGACAAGTAGGTCCACATTGTCTGTGATTGATGGATATCTCTCAGAAAACATATTGTCCTTTGAAAGGGTTATGCATATTCCATTGCTTCATTCTGTATTCAGAATTTAGATTCAATTTTGCACTGTTTACTCCTCATCAAATACTGGAAATTGAAGCAGGGATGTCATTTACTAAATGACCACTCTCTGGCAGACTTCTCTTATCCCTTCTTTCAAATACATAAAATTTTTACCTGTTTATCTGTTTTGTTTTGTTTTGTTTCTCACTTTTATTTTGTGTTTCCAAAAAAGGCAGACCTAGAAGAAAACAAACAGAAAAAGACACAAACTGAAAAAGAAGGTTCTTGGAGGGCACAGAAGGCAGTGAAATGGAGAGAATTGTGTAACTTTCCACAAGTAGAATGTTTCCTTAGGCAGCTGTTGGGCCCAGAAATATTAGTGAGGAGAAGGAAGATGATCAGATGTGTTTGTGCTCCTTAATATAACTCTCAGGTACAGTTCTCTAATTTTATGGCAGAGATACAGTTGCATTAGCGTGTTAGACTTTCCTCCCAAGAGAAAGAGAGCCCCAAAAGAGGAGGAAATAGAGAGAGAGAAGGAAGCTTCCATATGAGGCACTGGATCTTACAATACAGTGAAACTTGACTATTTTGATTTTGGGAGTTAGGAATATGATCATACTTCTTGTTACAAATCTGAAATTATCTGAATAAAAGGTACCAACCCTCAAGGACAATGAAATTACCTAAAAATTATGTGACAAGGGAGTGGATAAACATAATACAGTACACACCTACTTTTTCTCACCTTCTCTTTCTTAAACTGGCTTCTTCCCAGTTTCCTACTGCCACTATTTTATTAAATTAACTGATAATCTCTACTCACCAAACCCAAAGAAGAACCCTGTCTTTATCTTACTAATACTCCCAGCAGCAGGCAACTATTAACCATTCTTTTTGAAAATGTGTGTGTGTGTGGTGCCCCTCAGGCAACTTTATTAGAATGAAAGTTCAAAGCATAATTGTTCCCCTAGTTTACCAAACTACAGGGATCCTGCTTTTCTTTCCATTTGTCTATGGTATTAGACTTCTTTCTCACTACTCTGTTAATTAAAACACTCAACTATATATTTAAAATATTCAACCACATATCTAAAACAGCCAATCACATCTGATATTACATCACACTTGATTTTCTTACAAAATTCAGTTTTCTGTTATCTCCATATACCCTGAGTCTCTGGTAGCATAGTGGTTATGAATCGGACTGTGAACCTTAAGGTCAGCAGTTCAAAACTACCAGTTGTTCCGCGGGAGAAAGATGAGGCTTTCTGCTACCGTAAAGTTTTACATCCTCGGAAACCCTGTACACGGTTGCTATGAGTTTGAACTGACTCCACGGCACACAGCCACCACCATCTTTTTTTAACCCAAATTTCCACCATTCATTTCCTATACAAATTAATGATCCCTTTCCTTTCTAGGTGTTCCCTCTTTTCCCATGTCAAACTTACTCAGGTCTCTAGGCCACTTCAGTTTCACTTCATTAACTTGCACTGTGTTGTTTTCTTCATCCTGATGGACCTATTGTTTCCTTAGAGGAATGGTTATCATGTATCTGTAATAAAATAAGCTTTTTACTTGTCTTGGTTATATAGGTTTCAGATAGACTTCAGGGAACATAACCACTAATACTGTATAAGGAGTAAGGACCTGTGGGCCTATGGGATGCATATTTTTAGGTAAAGGCAAAGGGAATTTCCACAAGAATAGAGAATGCTTAATGGACTCAAGCCTGGCAACAGTAGTGAGGTTGACCCAGGATCAGGCAGTATTTCATTCTACTGTGCATAAGGTCACTATGGGTTTGTACTGACTCAATGGCACCTAACAACAACAACAAGGGACTCTTAAGCATGAGAATAGCAAAAAAGCAAGGAATCTATCTCTAATGACTGACTTGCATAGATGTGCAATTAAGGGTGGTGAAATTCCAAATGAGTAAATCTTGAAATAGAATAAAGGAGCTATGGATACTAACAATGGAGTTTCAGAGCCTCCAAAATGAGCAGGTTTTGAAAAGTACCCAGACCATGGACTAGGATCCTATAGGATTCTTCTTTCGATGGGTAAATCAGAAATAGAAACATTCTTCAGAACATAAATCAAATTATAATTGTAGTAAGAGATTTGAGGTGGATATGCTACTTATAAATTTGCATCAAGCATAAATATTAGTTCAAAGTATTTCAAACAAAAGTGGTAGAATTACAGTAAAATGTGATATTTATAAAAAACTAATATACTTCTTTAAAACAAGATGGATTAATCATAAACTCACATAAGTGGAAATGTAGAATATTTGAAATGATTTGATCTGATCATTATTTATATAGTTTTTGTTAAGTGCTGGTAAGTTACTACTGACTCATAGCAATTCCATGTAGAGTTTCTAAAATGACTAGCTAGGGGATTTGAAGTGCTGAACTTGCTGCTAACAGTCCAGTGCTTATGCTACAGTGCCATACCAGGACTCCTATCATTACTTATAAAACTATGGAAATAAAATTAAACCCATTGTCAATGAGTGCATTCTGACTTATACTTAATCCACAGTGTCAAAATAAAACTGCTGTCCATAGGGTATTCAGTGGCCTAAATATCACAGGATTGATACCCCTTTATTCTGATATGCTTCTGGGTACACTCAATCCACCAACCTTCCAGGTAGCAGTTTAAGTATTGTACTAACCAGGGACTAAAACTATAAAATTAAAGAATACTGATTTTTCTCTAGTAGATATACACCAAAAAAGTCTCACATAAAAACTGCAAAGTTTGTACAAAATAATAAGTAAAGAATAAATTGCAGAATCATAAAATTAAAAAAAAAAAAAAAGCAGGTTGGATAATTGGGAAACTGAAGTAGAATTTATAAAAATAGATTTTGAATTTTACAAGGAGGGTAATAATAAATTAAGAGAGAAATATAATAATGATTCTAACTTTCCAAAATTAAAAAAGTGTAACAGTTCAGATTATTGTTATTGTTTTTAGGTATCTTCCAGATGGTTCTAATTCATAGTGATCCTAACCACACTAGAATGAAACACTGCCCAGTCCTGGGCCATCCTCACAATTGTTATGCTTCAGTCCTTTGCTGCTGTAACTATTCCAACACATCTCATTGCAGGTGGGGAGGAGGGGTTGGGGTTGAGGGGGGAGTGTCTTCCTCTTTTTGCTGACCCTCCACTTCACCAAGCATGATATGTTCTCCAGAGACTATACTAAAGAGGACAGATTTTTAAATAAATGAAGAAAAATGTTACAGAGGTAATTAATAAAGTACTACAAAGTCAGAGTGAAATATTTAAATTTTTCTGAAAGAATCAAAGTCTCTGAATGATGAAAAGTTTAACCAACTCAGCTGCCAACCAGGCAGCTGGGAGATAAAGTCTACCCAGACTTCAAAAGAAAGATCTAGATATACACTCTCCAAATATCAACAATTAAAACCCCCATGGAATACAGTTCTACTTTTGTCATGAGCCAGAATAAGCTTGAAGGCCACTGGTTAAAATCATATCAGTTATAAAGTAATAGTAGTCATATTGCTGTCGTAATAGCTCCAGGATAGTACAACAGCAATATTTGTCTTCACTTGCTGAAAGTCATTTCCCGCTGTACAATGGATTTTCTAAATGTATGCAAATAGCAAACTGTCATAAAATTAATTATTCCATTATGTTTTATTCCTTTCTCACTCAAGCTGGCTATAAACCACTTAA